TTACCTCCACTTGCTAGTAAGATTCAAAATGCTCTGTTCTTGTGTCACCTCATTATGACTTCTTTTCCTTTATCTGAGAGTCTCAAATTAACTTGACATAGATGTTTTACATGTGTTTTAGGCTAAATGTGAAGTATTCCCTCATGTCCATGAGGCATTCAGAAAGTTGATAAGTTCTGCTTTCAAGGACACTCTAAATGAGGTTATTAAAATTCAACACTTTGCATATTCTGATGGCAAAAAATGCTTGTCCCTGACAACAAAGGACATAGGTCAGTTTAAGAAAGTTTCTCAATCTCCTTCTCCATGGCCACTGAAATCTTTGTGCCAGTATTTGTAAAACCAAGATAAGAAAATGTTGCCAGAGAGGACGAAAAGTGTAGGAGCCCAGGTCCTGTCCAAAAGTAAAAATCCATAACCATCTGTTGTTTGTGTTACATGGATTTCGCAACTGTCATCTCCACTGTGCACGCCATTTCATCTTCACAGCAATATCACCAAAACACCCACTGAGATAAAATCACAAATATTTTGAACATACCATATGATATGTTATTTTCCAAATTAATATTTGACAAAGTCCAAATGAGAACTTTTCTATAGGTTACTTCTCTGTTGTCACCCAAAAAAATCCTTGAAGTTTTTGCTACTATTTGGAAATACTTAACCTCAAGCTTGAATAATTTAAGAAACATAGAAGAGCTATTAAATGCTGCATTTTTTGATTATAAGCATGTTTTGAAAAATGGTAATGGCCACTAGGTACACAATATAACACCTTTCTGCAAAAGGTCCTTTTTAAATTATTTACTTAGAAATATAATTTAAAATTTAAATGGACTTTTCTTTTTTGGTCTTCAGAACAGCCAGAGTATCCTACATTTCACAGCTGGATATTGCTTGAAGGATTTATCATCTCTCAAGCTAATCTCTGTAACCCAGTGTCACACCCAAAAAGTTATTTTGGAAAAAAACCCAAATGAAACAAAGAAACAAAAACCCCAAACTGAAATTGTCCTTGGAAAAATGACAGAAAAAGAGTTAAAGACAAACGAGTAAACCAACTGCTTTTTCCCTCAGGAAATTTAAAACTCAAGGTCAGCTGTGCCTGAAATCACCGGACCTGTCACATGGCTTTCATAGCTGCCACGAAGGCTCCTATCAAACCTACACTGAAAGCAATGAAAACATTTTTAATGGAAACAGATCAAGCTTCGATAAGAAGCTCTCTGATCACCTTCGGCTGTTAACACTGTGCAAATGAGAGGTGAAGTTTTGAAAAATAGAAGAATAAGCTGAGAGAACTTGAGGTCAAATGAATTTGAGCTTTTTCTTGAATTCCTTAATGCTTGTGTGTGTTAGAGCATAAACATTGCTCTATGAGTATATGAATACATATACAGTTTATGTATATAAGAACACATACGTGCACACACATTTTATAGACATACGTGTTCATACACATACAGAAACACAGGTTGCTCTGTCAGGGTAACTCAACTAATTCCATTTTATCCTAGCTCCTGTCCTCCAGTAACGAAAGTTTGGTGGTCTCAGTCACAGTCCCTTGGGTGTAGGAGTCCATCACAAAGCCATCACCCTTAATATCATACAATTGACAGTCTCTGCTCAAGAGAGGCAGAAGAAGGAGTTGCCATGGAGACTGAACTATTGCTCTTCTCCAGAGGATGTTTTTTTCAAGGCACAGAGGCTGTGCAATACCTGTAATCTTGATCACATCATAGGATCTCACTTTTTGGGATGGCTTTTTAGTAAACTTTAACAAACATCCAGGAGATAAGGGGGGCAAAAACGAGAGAGCTTAAGAAAGCAAACAAACAAAAATAAACAAAAAAAAAAACCCAAAAATAATGTGAAAGTGCATATTATGCCAGACTGAGAGAGGAAAAGAGTTTCATATTGATTTGATTTATCAGATTTGTCACCTCTGCTTAGTGCTTTCCTAACGGGGTGAATGCTGTGCTTGACCTATTTGCTGGAATTAACCAGAACTGCAGGAGACCATATGGATTGCCAGATGGTCTGCTATAATTTAATGCCATTTATTCTAAGTATGAAGTAAGTGATAAACATAATTAACATTCTTTTAGCTCCTTACTGGATGCCTTTTATTAGTTTCTTTTTTTTTTTTCCTCAGGCATTGAAAGGTAAGTTAATTCCTTGTTACTGAAACACAGATGCCAGCTAATTACTGCAAGAGGCTGCAGCCTCCAAAGCAAAGAGTGTCTGCACAGACTCTAACTTATTCACTGACCCCACTGTGATGATTAATAGGTTGAATGCTGAGCTCCAATGAAGATGACAGATCTTAGATGTTTTCAGGTTACCTTAATTAGTAGCACGATGAACAGAATGTTCATCGCAGACGTACGTTATCACACTTCATAGTAAACAATACACCTTGTACTCATGTTCTGAACATGTATTTCGCATTACAGCACATCAAATGCTAAGGAACCAAACCACCTTCAGACAGTAAAAACAATGGAGTGATTTCCTTCAGAAATGTTTTTCCTGATTGCTATTTCATATTCTGCCAGTGATTGTCTAAATGGCCTATTTTTTAGGAAGTGATTCTAGAGAAGCTATGGCTTCAAAGAGTGTTTACATCAAGCAGGGTCGTCATTCTCAGCATTTTAAAACCATGAGTCTGTAACAAGATAGCCAAACAACTTTGACTATTCTTCCTGTGCTCATAAACTTCATAGTGACTGAGGTAGGTGTTAGCAGAATTAATAGCAAACCATTTTGTAATTTTTCATGTCAATGTACAGACAAAGTTAGTATGCTGGTACTCAGAACAGTAAAGGAAGAATTAGAGAAAAGATAGGAGTACTGAATGCTTTGTATTGTGCATTAAAAGTTGTGCACATTGGCCCTCACAGATAAAAATGACCACAGCTAAACATCTTGCGATTCATGTCTGTACTTGGGTGAACTTTGAGATGACAGAAACAGCATAAATTAAATGTTATTCGAAGATTAAAACAAAAGAACAGCACTTGCGCTATAAAGCAAATCTGCCCTTAGAAAACAGAACCTAAATTAGAGAACGTGGTGAAAAAAGAGTCCAGGTCACAAGTCACAGCATAGGGAAAGCTAAAAACAAACTCCAGCTTTTCAAAAACTGTGCTCTTCCCTTGTTCTGGATGGGTCCAGCACTCGTTCAAGATCCTCCACATGTACACCCCACAGTGCAAGTGCTCATGTGTCCTTAAGAAGCAACTACATTAAAGGGGACCTGAATGTGATGGAAGATGCCTCCTCTTTTACTCCACTCTTGAATGCATTAGTTCAAGTTACTTCTTCAGTTGGTGAATTCTGGTGAATCAATTGGTTATTGTTGCTGGTCCTATAAAATCTTTTATGATTCTCTACTAGTATATGAATAATTTATGAATCTCTGGGATACAGGGATAAATGGGATCAAAATATCTGAATAGCAAGATTTTGTTGATATTGACACCACTTGTCAAGACATCTCCATCTCTGCAGCATTTGAAAAAAGGATCCAATTTTCCAACGCATTAACTGAAAAATATTTACCTGAGGTGCTTAAGCTAATCCTATCCTGGCTGAAGGTTCATTTTTTATAGTCAGGGAGGAAAACCGGGTACTTAGAGACAGTAACTGAGATAGCCTGAATTTCTCTCAGGAAGCACTTACCTCTCTTCCCTGACTGCTACGGGATCTAGGATCATTTACGTGTCAAAACTTACATAGGATGAAATCAGAGATAAAAAATTACCATGTTAAAAACAAGAATTCATCCTTCCTCCCATGGGTTGTTTACTGGACCTGATAATACCATGCTTTGGTACTACACAGATACCACTTCTGAAAAATATTTGAGTGATGCTCTTCAGTGATCAAAGATGTTGAATCTCAGTGTGATACTGGCATGTTTTCAGTTTCTATGTATATATATTTATACATATGTACATATACATACAGGTATATATAAAAATGTACACATTCAATTGCTTCACTGTGGCAAATAGTCTGAGATGTTCCAAGTGGTTAGCTCATAACATCCAAAGAAAGGGCAATGCCAGATCTATTTACTGAAATAACCTCTTATTCAGACCTCTGGACTGCCTGAAAAAGTATTTTGCCTAAGTAGCACCCAGCTCCCACCCATACTTAACAAAAAGTATTCTGAAAGAATGAAGAAATCAAGCAGAATTTAACAGCTAGGCTTTACAGTTGATAGACACAAAACCTGCCAAAGCAGGTTTGACACTTAGTACTTAAACATGGCTTTATACTTTAAAATCCTTTTTCATCTGTCTTGTTCTTCACTTACTTGCTCACAAGAAAAAAGACATCAGAAAATTTATGTTCACTGTTCATTTCAGTCCCAAGAATAAGATTGTCTGTATCTTAGCTGTCATGCAGATGGCATGTATGAAACATGGCTCTTGGCCTAAATGGAGGTAGGATTTTATTTTAGGACGAAGAGGGACAAGATGTAAAAACCGTGTCTACAGAGGAATACCTGTGCCTGACTAATGAACCCTCATTGTCATAATAATTTTCCATTTAAGCTCCATCATCTGATCTATTGAGAGATCTCACCGAGAGAATGGAAACAGAGAAAATGTATCACCAGTCCCAGGAGTAGTTACTTGGGCATTGCTTTGTTGGAAAATGTGACTCTTAGAAACTGTGAATTTCAGGCAAAATTGCAAAATAGAATTAGGTAGAGGAACAAATAAAAGGCCCTAAGGGGAAAACAAAAAGGAAGAGAATATAAAATGTTTTAAAAGAGAAAGTAAACAGTGCTTTAATGGTGATGTGGCTAGCAGTACTCTCTGATAAACTATGATACAAAAAGAAGCATTTTTTTTGGTAAATGTAATAATGATAAAATTAGGTAGCAATTAACTTTAAATGCTTTAAGACCATAGGGGGAAAAAAAAAATAAAAATCAAACCAAACCCAAGTGATGATATTTGCAAATGTCACAGATGTCTTACCTCCTGCATACATGACAGCCAACATTATCGATGATATCCAAGCTATCTCACTGTATGATGTGTGGAAGATTTCTTGTATTTCTTTGAAGAATACTGTGATGGCTTTGGGGAATGCATAGGAAAATCCAATGGAGATAAAAGCCCCAAAGACCACAACCCATCCCCAACCTCCATCTGGAGGTGGGTACTGTGGCGCTCCAATTGCTGGTGGCATTTTTGGTCTCTGTGTCTTCTCCAACTAGGCTGAAAAAGAGAAGAAACAAGGTTTCAAACAGTTTTCCTCTTTTCTTTATCAAACTGCAGAATTCAATCATCACCTGCAGGGATTATAAAGAATCCTTAGAGGAGAGAATAATTTCCAGCTTTCATGGGACCATGGAACGCTAATACCTGTTTTTAGAAGCGAAATCTGTTCTGCAAAAACACTTGTAGCAAGAGTATTTTGCAATACCTTATTCAGTATGTGGCAACTGTTACAAATGACTTGTCTCAGTCACTGAAGTTGTATTTGCAATTAGTCACTTATTGGAAAGTGACGTGTTTGTGTGGGTTAATTTACGTAGCTCTACTATCTACAGTGTAGACTTAGCACAGGAATGAAAAATAAGAAAAAAACCTGGAAATTGGACTTACAGGCAACAATGGAAAAAAGTTACAGTAAATTATCATCAAATGCCATTGTGTCAGCAAGATTTACCAGTACCAGCACAATCATCAGCAATGACAGCAAGGGACAAATTCATTACACTTTTTTTATCATATGCTGTCATATCCAGTTTTTGACCATTGTTGATATCTCTTGCTTCTCTCATGAGAACACCTAAGAAGTGGGTTCTAAGCAGAGATTTAAAATTCTCTGTGTATCCATAAAATAAATGCAAAAATATTACAATTCCATATTGTACTCTTATTTTTAAAATTTTCTTACTAGTTGACGTTGACATTACTTGCAGGAACAAGCCGGAGCTTGATGGTACTAATTTTGTTCTGTTTGCAAATGTTAGAAGACTTCAGGAAGAGTTTTACTAACATCACAAACTTTACACAGCTATTCTCTAATTTAGAATTTACCATAATAGACACCACCAGAGTTATAGAGGTTCTGAGAGGTGCAGCCAACACATTAAGGCAGCTCAAGACATCATAAGTAATCCACATAAAACTCCTAAGGCCTGAAATAAATTTCATACTGTTATTATCATCCTGATATCTAAAAACTTAAGCTTTCTACATTCTGCATAACCCTTTTAGAAAACGTGCAGTACCAAGAATCCATTTTGTAATTCCGAGATTTTTTCCACTATCAAATCCCTTTATTAAACATAGAGCTGGCATCCGCTGTGTTTTCTTCTGTGTAATTCAGCACACACAGGCAGTATGAACTGAAAATTCCTCCTTCCTCCCTGTTTCTTTCTTGGGCATTTAGGCAACTTATTACTCTCGATTGGTCTACTGCCATACCAGTATCGAAAGCTGTGGATGATAACAGTGTGTAGGCTGTTGTTATGCTTATGATTACCAGCAAGTCTCTATGTGATTTCTTCCATGCCACTTATGGCATATTCCAATTTCTCACAGTAAACTGCATTAGCAGTGGGAGTGATAAGATTACCTTAACAAAAACTGAAAAACGGACTGTGTCAGCTTATATTAATCTCTTGGGATAGTGCCTGGAGTACTTTCAGGGGAAACACCATGTAGCATTGCATGCAACACATGCCACAAAACTAGCAAAGTGTTGCTTTTAAGATTATCTATCACTAGGCTAGCCCTGTGAAAGAAACCCACTGTACTTTTCATTCTCCGCTTTACTGAAGGTGATTGTAGACATCACCCTGATATTGGCAGACCTCTGGGGGAAAGCTAAATCAACAACTGAAACATCTGACTTCTACGCAAGGTTGCAAAAGCCCAGGTAGTTTGGCTTCTGCATCATACACAGACTTGCTGCTGGCACCAATAGATATCTATTGCTCTGTACAAATCTTTTTATACATATGTTCAGAAAAGACCTCTGGCATGCACTTTGTTTCTGTTTATCCTACTCTCCGCTTAACATTAGTCCACAGACATAGATCAGTGAGGAAAAGCTGGGCCTGCCATTAGAAGAAGTTGGACTATCAGAGACAGTTCCGGATGCCAAGACTTAACTTTGGCAAAGCAGTTTAATACCAGTTTGGTTTTGCTGAATCAGGACCCATTAGAAGGAAGAGTACCTCAGAAAAGCCATAGTAACTTATAACACATACAGTGATGATCGATTGCCTTCAAAAGCACAAAACCTCAAATTGGCATGAAAAGCAGAACTCTGTTTATGTGACATGAGTGACAGTAAACAACTGAGTTTGCTATCTGTCCCAGAAAGCTGTTGTTCCACTCATCTGAGAAAACTTTTGGTCATTTCCTAAAAAAGGTTAACTATTGTTTTCTTACACTTCAAAGGTTTGAGCATATTTGTTTTCATATTTCATATGCATATGACAACACTTCTATCTCTATTATAAATTTTAGTAATGCCACACAACATCAAGGCATAGCTCTCCATAAAAATGGAAAGGCATTATCAATTTCTTGAGGAAGCACTCCTTTTCCTAAAAATAATACACAAGTACTTTGAAAAATCACTGCCACTTCACTAATCAGAACGCTGGAGGTTCCTGAAAGTCACTAAGGCATCTTGGTTCTTTGGAAAGATCCCATTATATCCACCCCTTTAGGGCAGCAGAGCAGGCTCTGGCAGTTCAGTGCTTTCCTCCCTTCAAAGCCTTCACAGTAAACTAAAGGGGGCATTAAGGAGAGGGGCAAAGGGACATTGGCAGCTCCTACGCCTCTGCCTAGAGGGAAACTGCTGCACAGCCCGACTGCCTGGCCAGCTCGTAGCGCTGCTGCTGGGAAAGGCTGTCTGCTAACCTACGCTAGACATTCCACTGTCACAAAGAAGAGCCTGGATCATTGTATCTCACACCTCCTGTTTATCCCACAGAGTTAATAATAGCTTCCCTGATGTTCCTTTATGATCATGATAGCCAATTTTAGCTCCGGTTAATAAAGGGCAAAAAGGAAAAAAAATAATAAATACATGTTTGCACCAAGAGAAAAAAGTATTAGTTTTGTCAGAAAAACATCCCATACCTGCTCAGGAGTTAAAGCAAGCTTCTTCTGTAAAACCTGCACTAAATATCCCTGAAACTGAACTCCTCCTAAAGCAGTCTAGCACATTAAGATGTCTAGTTCTAATCTAAGCCCAACTAGTAAGACTTGGGTAGTATACACAGTACACAGAAAAGTGAGAATTCCATTAACAATGAAAACAAAACAGCATTTTAGATGAATGGATATAAATATTGACAAGGGAAGAGGCAAAAGAGGGAGGAACGAAGCAGTGACAAACAAAATGACTTTTCAGAGCTCTCGGGGTTTATTACAGACTGTGAAGAATAAAAAGAAATACAGTACACTACCAGACAAAAGAAAATAAAGGCAGCACTTGAGTAAATAAAGGTCACCACCAGTGTTTTTAGTCAGTCATATGAATTCTATCATGTGCTTAAAGCTAGCGAGTGAGCACTGCTCATACCTATGCTTTTATAGGCAAGCAGTGGGTGAGGAATGTTGCCTGCCCTCTGCCCAGGGAAGCGGCCAGGGAACAGAGACTGCATCGCGTCCTGAGCGAAGCCATCAATCTCCCTTCTCTCTGTCAGACACAGAGAGACGTGGCTCAGCCTTTCCATACCCCGAGTCTGACTGTGCGCGAGGATTTTCTCCTAAGCTCCTTCTAGTTCCCCTGTATAAATCCCATTTATGTAAGCAGTGAACAAGAACATATCTTACTGTAGTAAGAACTATATGTGTCTGCTAACAAATAACAGGAGAGAAACAGGGCAAGAGGACACTTTTAAAACATCTGCTATGCATCGTTTTTTATTATATAGGTCTCAGCACATTTGAACTTAATTAGGCAAATGAGAAGTGAATGAAAGAGAAAGAGAGATAGGGAGAGGAGGAGGAAGGGAAGGAGGAAAGAAGGGAAAGGAAGAAAAAAAGGGGAAAAAAGAAAGAGAGAAAGCAACAAGCAAGTAACAAGGTCAAACTAAGAGCAAATGCTACAGACAAATAATGTATCTTGATATCATGCACCACAGACTTCAGTCAGTCATGATCAAACTGTTCAGACTGCTCTTGTACCAATGCTTCATTAATATTCTGCAGTTGCCAGCTGCCAGAATCAGCTATCAGTACAGCAGCCCGTCAAAGATATTTCTGAGAAGGGGTTATGTTGTTCTCTTGTTTACAGAGACTCTGATTTTACTGGGAGTTCTAGGTTTGGGTTTTTTGCAACATTACAGTAACTGTTCTGCTTACATTTTTTCTGGCTTGTCCTCAATGTGCCCTGTCACCACTTGACTCAGCAGCCATTTGTCCCAGAGTAAAAGAGCTGGTATGTGAAAAATCTGTCCCCAGTTGCTGCAGGATAGTAGGAATATTTGGCACTTATCTACTGCACTCCAGTTCCACACAGTAAGCCAAGGACTGCAGACAGTTTTGCAAACTTGAGCAAATTCAGTCTTATAACATCCCTGTGGGGTGATTAAAAAGTATCATCTACTTTTTGACATGGGAAACAAATATAAACAGGCTAAATAACCTAAGTCTTATCCCAGATCAGCGCCATAGCTGGAATGTGGACTAATGTCCAAGCTGTGAGTTATGACTGAGTTTTTTAAGTACACGTGTGCTTTGGAAGCTCATTAAGTAGCAAATGCAGATTAATTGTACTGCTTAATACTTGAGTTAGGCACACAGGTGGGGTACAATATTTGCTTTATAGGTTTGAAGAGTCAGCTGCTCTAACTTACCCTTAATGAATGCTAATTACATTGCTGTATTTGAAATAAATGACTTTGTGGTAGCATTAGTAAAATAATGATCTCTAAAGGAGTTATACTCTTATAAAAGATCCTGGCTTAAAAGCTGCAAAAAATTTCAATTTTCTTATTTTTATTAACTGCCGTTTAATGACTTCAAAGTGGGAAATCAGGATAGCAGGTATCATCTCATCAAATGGTATTTCCTCAAAAACTTTTACAAGCTATTGTCATCATCTTGTGAGCAGTGTTAGTTTTGTGAGAAGGTTTTGCTCTGACGCAGGGCCATGGAAATGATCAGAGGGCTGGAGCATCTCTCCTATGAAGACAGGCTGAGAGAGTTGGGGTTCTTCAGCCTGGAGAAGAGAAGGCTCCAGA